GCGGGAAGTAACACGTTGTAGTTGGAGTTGGTACGGTAGATTCTACGTGCTGGTGGTCGCAAAGGTCAGGCATTTCCCGCGAAATATAGTCCCGCGCGGAATGGTTTCCATGACCGCGCTCCGTTTCCAATCGTGTTCACTGTTTTCACCGTTTACACGAGAACGAAAACGTTTTGAAAACGTTTCAAAACACTTTGAAGTGAAGTGCGTTTCCATTTCGTTCCGTTTAGGTATCGTTTTCGGGCGTTGTCGTGTAAACGATAGTAGTAAACGCAACGATTTCGTTCCGTTTAGGTCCTACTTCGTTGTCGTGTAAACGCAAATCGTTTTCAATCGTTGTCGTGTAAACGCAGCCTCAGCTTTGCATGCCTTGCTGCCTTCGCCTGCTTTCCAGCAACCCTACAAAGGGGCGTCGGTATCAAAGCGACATGATGACAACAATGAAGACAAAAGAGAGAAAAAGCCTCTCTGGTGAATGACTGTGCACTAGGGGAAATTTTCGGTGAACTCTTCTCTCTACCTTTTCTATGACCGAGTGTGAGGTGCCTCTCAAGTCATTACGCACATCGTTAGGTGGTGTGGAGGGGGGGGGGAGGTTGGGTGGAGCTTTGCAAACAGAGCGACGACATGACATTGTGTAGTACTAGATCTACATGTAGACTGTAGACTGTGGTAGACTCTACATGTATACATGTAGTACCGGTCCCGGAGCTTCTGTGTGAATGTAGATCTACCAGGCGACTTGCCATGATCGTGGAGATACTTGTAGTAAGGCAAGGACATGTCGACAGGGACCTACCAGTCCACCACCGGCATCAGTCCACGGATCGATTTTGCTCGCTGGTGTCTCAAACCAACTGACACTGTGACAGTCTTGTCTGCAGAAGTAGACAACCAGATCACGCGTCCCAAGCAACCAAGTGACAGTCCCGAAAAGGCGCGAGGCTCCCTACCTCCTCCCTGCACCTGTCTGCCCTCCACTGCTCCAGTACCCACGACTCGCGCCACTGAGCGAGTGTATGTGATAATCGACAACGTACACGTAGATCTACATGTAGCCATTCAAACTGCGACTGGCCAAACAGTGTTGATTCTCACAATGTGAGGTGTGACATTCACCATTAAGGCCTGTGTTCTTGGTCTAGCAAGCTCTGGAAGCTAAAATGAGACAGTCACAGAGAGGCCTTGTAGACAGTCTACCAAGGTTGAGTATGTGTCATCGCTTGCCGACAGCGTAAAAATCCTACTAGAACTTGTAAGTACACGGCAGTACTCGTCTCACCCCTCATGCTCTCAGTAGGCACCGGCGGATTATGCCGGCATAATTATTAGGTGGTTGAAAATTTGGAGCATATTTTGGCATCCTTTCGGAGGTAGGAGCATAACTACATGATTGTGCCACAGTTCTAGTATGTAAGCTACACAATTGTGTACAATGCACCTGAATGATCAGTGCTGGTGGTCTGCATGGTAAAAGGTTCGGAAGTCATGCAGATAATGGTTTCAATCGGGGAGTCGTAAGGGCTTTTACGACTCCCTGGTTTCAATGAAAAGAGGGTAGAAATCATGGCAATACATTCTTCAAAGTTCTTTCTCACACTGATACAGTGCATGTAGCAGAAGATGCGAATGAATCTGTAAACGTCTCACTTAGTCGGTTAAGGAATAATCCGTCTCTTTATTAGTAAAGAAGCAGTTTTATACAGTAAGTAGAATAATAGGTGCTAAAGCGAAAGGTAGCCGTGAATAGTAAGTGCTATCAGTTGCACAAACTGTGCAACTGATAGGCGCGCACAAGCTGTGCAACTGATAGGCGCGCACAAGCTGTTCGCCCTTTCCCAAAGGTGCTAGCCCTTTTTGGCCCTGTTTGGAAAAGCCCGTTTCTTTCGCCCTTTATTGCGTTTTTTGGTGACTCGCCCTTTTTGAGCTTTTTTAGCTGAAAAAGTGCTAAAATCTGTTTGTATATAATGCTCTTGCATGCGATCACAGTTTCCGAGTGCTCGATGGGCCTTGGCACGCCGCTTTTTTGGGGGCAACAAGTTGGTGAAGCTTGTACCAGGTGTACACAATGCTGTAAAAAGTGGGTTTTTTGAAATTTACTTCCTGTTTTGCCTTTTGTGGACCCATAAATGGAAGAGGGCGTATTCATTTCTCAGCTTGGGTTCATATCTGAACATGTATCATGGCTATGCTTCACTGAAAAAAGAGCACTTTTTGCCTGTTTTCACTGAAAAGAGAGCACTTTTTCAGCATATTTTGAGGGACGCGAAAAGCACTAAGTGCGAATTAAAAGAGCACCTTTGGGAAAGGGCTACAAGCTGTGCAACTGATAGGCGCGCACAAGCTGTGCAGTGATAGGCACGTACAAGGAGTGCAGTGATAGGAAGGCGGAAGAAGGTGTAACGGTTACGCCATCCCCCTCATCTCGATTGTGCAATACGAGTCGTACTAGTAGACGAAAATCAAATCAAAGCTGCTAGAACTCAATACAATCAGGGAAAAACACAATAGAATGAAAATACTTACACAATTCAGCCGAAAAGGTTGTAAAATTAGCGGAACTGGTTCGGATATGATGTGCAGCGCTATGGGAATGGGTGTTTCCACCCGAATTCTTTTTACAATTCAGGATAATTCATTCCCAACTCATCACAACCACGCGCTCTTCAGCCGAACTTCAGCCGAACTTAATTCAGGATAAATTCCTTTTATAAGTTCGAAGTGGAACAATATCTCTTCCGTACTCGTCCTTGAGAAAATTCTCTGGCTCCCAGGTTGTCTCATCATAACCCTTCCACTTGTCCAAAATCTCGGGTGTGCCTTTACTGCCTTAGCATACTCGGTGATCCAAGATTTCCTCGACAATGTACCTTGTGTTGCCGTCCAAATCAGTTATAGGCCGCGGGGGCGGCTGGTGGCGCGCAAGAATTGCGTTCGCTTCGTATGGTTTCAGCGCAGTGACATTGAACACAGGGTGGCAGCGTAAGGTTGTCGGCAGGTTTAGGCGATATGCATTGTCGCCAACTGTTGCCCTTACCTAGGTCCAAACCACTTGGGACGACGTTTTGACGAGGGTTATTGGCGCGCCTAGGGGGTCAACATAAATCGTATAGGGAAGGGGGTTCTGGCTCACCTGGAGGTGAGCCAAAATCGACTTTCTCGATCGGCCCTTCGGGCCTCTCTCCCAAGTCTCCCCCTCCCCCTATACTACTAGGGGACGTGTGAGATAATGACTCTGTGAGATAATGACTCTGTGAGATAATGACTCTTACCAGGAGATAGGTCTGTCATACAGTTCCCCTCTCCTACGCTATAGTTCTAACCCTTCAGTACACTTCTTAATTATGGTAAGAAATGTGTGTGGAAGATCTAAGTATTAATTTTACAGCTTCATGGTAAGAAATGTGTGTGAGATCCAAGTACTAATTTTACAACTCCAAGCACTAATTTTACACCTCCAACCACTGATCCAATGTTGGCTCAACCCCATCCCAGAAAAGTGAGCCAACTTCAGCTTTTTCACTTACCCAATCTTGGCTCACTTCGAGGACTGTTGTGGGATCGGTTTCTGAGCCAACTTCGGGTGGTTCAGCTTTGGATGAGGATCCTAATTAATCTGTGTTAGAGGAACGGTTGCCATAGGTATAGCCAACGATTCAACTTTCGAAGATGGCAAGCAAGAAACCTACTCCGTTTGACACAGCTACTATTCTCAATGACTTCATTGATTATCGAATCACCATCAAGGATGGGAATAATGTGGTTCACTGACAATCAATGGGAAGGAACCATATATAAAATTCACTGATGAGACAAATATCATGAATGCTGTGAAAAAAGGACAAGAGGACTCTCTGAAATTTTCTACTGACAGTGATATATGTAAATCCATCCGTTGTATCGAGAAGAAGATAGAATCCGAAGGAAATGTGGTTAGAAGCAGGATTAACACAACAAAATGTGAGCACCCAATCCTGTTTCTCCAAATTTCTCCTGATTGTGCTATCTTTGATGAGGACAACAAACCATCAAAAACCAACAAGATCAAGCAAGGTGACACCATCAATGGTATTGTTCACCTGAAGTGGGTTAACAAAGATAAGATTGATGATACTCTCAGTCTCAAACTTGTTGTTGTTGCTATAAAGCATTTCCAGAAAGAAGAAGTGAATTCTCAGCAAACGATTTGTAAAAGATACTAGCAGTCATAAAAATCCACAAAAACAAAAACAAAAAAATATTTTTTTAGAAGTGAAATCATGGATGCGTGGTTTGATGACGACTACTCCACAAACAAAGAAGAAGAAGTCATGGATACATGGATAGATGATGAACACTCTACCAGGAAAGATAAGATGATAGCGGCATACATTGACTATAGAAACCAAGAATGGTTTCCTACAGATATAGAATTGAGGAATTTGGAAAATGAAGTAACTCCAGAGGATCTTGAGGTGTATGAGATGAAGAAAAGTGATCTGTATGATATCACATCTTTCTTCGATGAAATAGAAAAATCTAAAACCAGAACAGGGATCGAAACAAGATTGGAGATAACCCTGAACAAGGTTGGTTTACCAAACTATCTTAGATAAACCCCATTCAACAATCTTGTTGATAAAATTCAGAGGATCAAGGAAGTAGCAAATAAAGAGAAAAAAGTCAAAGTGAGTTATCCATTCCTACTTTCGAAACTCATTGATGATGAAGATGATGTGATCAAGATCAAATCATTCATTCCAAAGTGTAAAAATCACAACAAAGACTTGATGCTATATGGGAGAATCATAGAAAATCGAATGTGTTAGGCCCGTGGGGATTGCCCTATCAAAAATTTGATAATAATAAGAAGAACGAGCTGAAGCGACATTTGGATTACTTTATTAACAATGTAAGCGATGGAGACGATGCAAGAAACAACCTAAAGGGTAAGGAAAAATACATGTAAGAAGAAAAAGGCAATGAAAAAAAAAGATGATTCGAACAAGTTTTCGTACAAC